GGAAAAAGAGAGAGAAGGGAAAAGAGAGAGAGAAAGGGGGGGAGAGAGAGAGAAAAGGGAAAGACAGAGAGAGGGGAGAGAATGGAAAGACAGAGAGAGAGACAGGGACAGAAAGACAGGGAGAGAGAGAAACAGAGAGAGGAGAGAGAAGGGAAAGGAGAGAGAAAAAGGGGGAAGGGAGGGAGATGGGGGTGGAGGAGAGAGACAGAGAAAGAGAGAGAGAGAGAGAGAAAAGGGAGGGAGGGCAGAGGTTTCTTTCTAGTTCCCCTCCCATTATACCACTTAAGTAACCTTCAACAAGTCTAACCCTCTACAAGATTACCCTTTAGCTAAAGATAGCTATCTTGACCCTCCTAAGTCTTCTCTTCTCTGGGATAAATATTCCCAGTTCTTCAACTGATGCTCATATGACACAGCTTCCAGCTGTCTTACCCTTCTGGTCCCTCCAGTTCGTCAATGTCCTTCCTAAAACAATGTCCTTCCAGAACTACACAATGCTCTCCACTCTGGTCTCACTAGGGCAGGGGAGAGTAGGACAACAAGGGCACCAGAGTTCTAGTAATTGGTAAGGAAGCCTAAGACAACATCACGCCACAAACTCTTACCCCACTGTTTGCCAGATGCATCTTCCTGTTCACCATTGGAGCCTTCGGGTCCTGGGTTCTCCTTCCCCACGGTGACGTCATCTGCGGAGACAGACAGGGGAGATGAGCGGTGGAGGTGGGGAGAACAAGGGATATATAGATCACTGACCATCAGCAAGCATTCGCTGAGACCCCACTGTGTGTCCAGGCACTCCTAGTCTGGGAGGACAGAGGAAGAGCAGACCCGGGCCCTGCCCTCAGGGAGCTCTTAGTCTCAGAGCTATACAGAGTCCATGGGGGACCAGGACCAAAGTGAAAAGTGAAGACACCTACAGAGAGCCAGGGTAGGGCAATAGAGAGAACGCCTGCCCGATGTCTAACCCATGATCAAGTTCTAATTCAAATGCAGACCAGCCAGGTGACCCTAGATAGGTCCCTTCATCCCTTTTAATCCTAATCTCCTCATTAAAAATGGAGCCAATATTACTCTGACTTCCAGGGGATGACGTGAGGAAGTTACTCTTGTAAAACCCCGAGGAGTCGTGGAAAGGAAGGGTCTTCATTCACAAGTGCCGGTCAGGGAAGGCTCCCCAGGAAGCTTCGGTGCACGAGCGAAGCCTTGAAGGATGGGCAGGCTTTGGGAAGGTGCTGGTGAGAGTCACAGGTCAGCACCAGATCAAACACAGAAGGCCTTGAAGGCCAGGTTGAGGAGTATGGATTTTATCCTGCAGGGAGCTCCAGAAGGTTTCTGAGCAGAAAGCAGTGCCTTGAGAACTTTCAGAAGAGCTACAAACATGGGAGGGTTTAGGGATTCTTTGCGAGAGTCAGTATAGCTTAGTACATCTCTGAGATTCAATTCTATTTGGGTGACCTCTCTTACCCCTCGGTGCTTTAGTTTCCTCATCTATAAAATGGGTCTAAAAACAGTGACACTACCTATCTCACAAGGCTGCTCTGAGGAAAGCCCTCACCAAGGTGAGCCTTGATGTGGCAGTGTTATCAAGCCACGTGGCTTTGGGGTGGAGGTGACGGAGTGTTGCAGGCTGATGCTCAGCAGCCACCCAGAGATGGCATCTCAAAGCCCCCCTGAGCAAACAGCCTCTAATCTGAGCGGGCTGTACAAAGGCCTGACGCCCCACCTCCAATGGCATATCACAGTCGGTCCATCTATCTGTCCGCAGCTGCCCCTCCACCTCCTCTCCCCCCTCCCAAGCCCTGCTCTCTCCTGCCCAGCTACCCCACCCTTCCTCCTCTCCTTCCCTCCCTCCCTCACACACACCAACCGCCTGGCATTCATTCTGGGGCCCCCTGGCCTGTGGCCAGGCCTCTGATGTGAGCCGCCGCCTGCTGCAAATCCCCCCACCCCAGCCTTTGAAGAGGCGGCCTCTGAGTTACCTACAAGCCTTCCCCTAATGCAGCAGCTCAGGCAGGGCAGGGCAGGGCAGGGCAGGGGAGATGAGAAAGGTCTGTCCATATTCCCGGACTCCCGTGTAAATATTTTTCTGAGAGATTGGGAGAACTGGGGGGGGGGGGTGCACTTTACAAATAGAGGGCCTGTTTAGCCAGGACTGCTTTGATCTCATCGGGGCTCACACAATGAAAGAGGTCGGCAAGTCCGAGCACAAACAGACCCATCCAAGCAAGTCGCTAAGTGGCACATCTGGAGACCGGAGGGGCTCTGTCACAAGCTCACTGTGAGCCCCTATTACACACACACAAACAAACTCCTGCCCTTCCCGTACGCTTTCTTAGCAAGACAGACAGCCCTGGATCTGGGACCAAAGCACCCAAGCTGGGTTACTGAGCTACCTGTGTGACCCTGGGCAAGTTCATTAACTTCTCTGTGTCCACCCTGTATGACTGATCCTGGAGGTCCCACTGAGCCCAAGACAGGCCGGCATGTGTTGTCAGCCACCTCAGGGATGCCCAAATTAGGCAGTGGCACACAGCACTAGTGTCAGAAGACTTGGCTTTAGATGCCATCTCTCCTGTGTGTCTGCAAAAGTCTCTTCTATTTCCTAAGCCCTAGTTTCTTCATCTGTAGAATGGGGCACATCGGTAACAGACAGCTAGAATCCAGGTGACCTGACCCCCAGGCCAAAGTTCTTCAGCACGAGAAAGAGCTGAACGTGGAAACGTCATAGACCATGGTTAGTATGACACGCTTCCAAATCCATATGAAATAGAAGACACTGACATTCTCTCATTAATTCAACATCATTGTAAACATCATGTGTGACACACCAGTAACTCGAGGGGTTACTGAAAGAAAGGTAAAGGATTATTTGTCCCTGAGTTTAATGGCCCCAAATTCCTGTGTTCCTAATTCCTCCATGTTTTTTCTCACTGGTCACTGTCTAATTGCCTGGATTGTTCTAATAGCTTTTTAACTGACCTCTCTATCTCCAGTCCCTCCCCTCTCCATCTATCTTATCACACAGTCGCCTAAAGGGATATCCCTAGAGCTCAGGCCTTCCTGTGTCACAACCCTACTCAAAAACTTTCCATGCCTCCTTAGCTAGGCACTCAATGCCTTCCACAATCTGGCTCTAACCCATCTTTCTAATCTTCTTTCCCGCTACTCATCTTCATGTACTCATGAGCGGCAGCATTCTATAAGGGATCATTGGTGGACTGGGAATCAGCAAGATCTGTATTTAAATTCCACCTCTAATATTTATTAGCTGTATGACAAAGGCTAAGTCCTATCTTCATCTTCATCATCATCATCATCACCATCACCATCATCATCACCATCATCACTATCATCATCATCATCACCACCATCATCATCACCATCATCATCATCATCATCACCACCACCACTAAAATGTCCCACCATTTGAATGGAATCTCTTGCAAGTAGGAATTGTTTCATTGTTCTTGTCCAGCCCAATACCCAACACACAGCAGGTGCTCGATGAATACTTGCTGATGGATGGATTTCTAACTCTAAGATCAGCTTTAAGGTTTGCAAAGCACTTCACAAATATCCTCTCATTTCCGACAACAACCTTAGGTGACAGGTGATATTGTTATCCCAGTTTTAGAGAAGAGGAAATTGAGGCAGGCAGAAGTCATGTGACTTGCCCAAGGTCATATAGGTAATAAGTATCTGAGCCCAGATGGAACTCAGGTCTTCCAGAATCCAGATCCAGGGCTTTGGGTACTATACTACCTATCTGCTTTAACCTCTCTAACTCTCAGTTTCCTCATTTGTAAAATGGGTAAAAAACCTGTAGTATCTTCCCCATAAGGGTGAGATGAGGATAAAATGAAATAATGCCCATAAACTAAAAACAAACCCTGAGTGCTGCATAAATGTCAGTAGTAGTACTAGTAGTACCTAGAACTAGTGGTATTTAGTACCAGTAGTAGTATCGAGTGAATCTAGATTTCTGGCTGTTCTGTAATCTTGTCCTTACACCACCGTTATACATTTCTAGAGGCTAACTCCAGGGCCAGAAGGCACTCGACTCCTTATCTATTCTAGATGAAAACCTTTCAAGGCCCATTTCTGGTGCCACTCTTCCCAAAGCCTTCCCTCATCTTCATGGCAATGCTGCTGCTGGTAGGGTAGGGTCAGGGACTGTATTGTTGATTTCCTTATAAGCCGGTACATTCTCAGTCACTTTTAGTATTTCCCAGAGCACTAAGAGATTAAGAGGATCATCACCCTGGGACACAGGCAGGCAAGACTGACCACACAGTCTTCTGTCTCTTTGGGTCTTTAGCCCGGCTTTCCCACATGCATGAACCCCCCTGCATCTTCACGTCTGTTGCACAGAGTCCCTTCCCTTCCTTTAAGACCCACTCAAGCATCATCTTCTGCACGAAACCTTTCTTGACGCCCTCAACCGCTAGAGCAGGTGCGCTCCCAAACTATCGCACATTTGACTATTCTTTCTTTATCTGTATCGACTCACTTTATATGAATGCTCTATGGGCATTGAAGAAAATCTCAGTGTCGTTTTAAGTTATTTATACCTATTTAAGCTATTCAACTTGCACCGAGATTTTGGAACACTTAGGTCGTAATTAGTACAGCTAGGTCCTAATTAGTACAAATAATGAACACCATGAAGTGGTCACATGTATTTGAATTCACACTATTTGAAAATACCATTATATAAAATATGGTCATTGGTTCCAGACCAATGGAAATATACAATGCAAATTCAAATAACGCAACCACTTAAGGAAACTCATTATTTGCACCAGTCACAATCAGGCTGTGTATACTTGTCCCACCATTAGAATGTAAACTCCTTGAAATAGGGATGGGTTCATTGTACTTATATACTTAAAGCCTAGCTCAGTGCCCAGAAGGTGCGTGACACATATTTGCTGACTAATGGATTTCTAACACTAAGGTCAGTCCTATCCTTGACACCAAAGGCTTTAAACACAGGGCCCATGAAGCTAGCAACACTCAAATGCCAACTGAACCAGATTAAAATGTAATTGGGAAACATTTAACAAAATAAATAAAAGCACAATAAAACATAGATAATAGTCATATGTGGTTTTCTAAGTCAATATGCGACCTGCAGGGATTCTGATGTAGAATTAAGTGGCCTCCATTTCTATGTGAGTCTGACGTCCCTGTGATACACCATGATGACTCTTGCTACTACTGTGTTAAATTAAATATACACTTTAAAAACTTAGACATAACAGAAGTTCAGTTTCATATACAATCCTCTTTTTCCTCCTTCTTTGTATATAAAAAGTCCTTGTTTGTTGATTTTTAAGTTATAATAAAAGGAAAAAATGTTTTAAAGAAAATGATCTGTCAAACTTTTTGGGAAAAAAATAACTAATATTTATATAGTGTTTTAAAACTGCCAACTTCACACAGATTATTTCATTTGAGCTTGATACTGTGGGTTAGGTCCTGTGGTTATCCCCATTTTACAGATGAGGAAACTGAGACTCAGGGACGTTAACTGACTTGCCCCCAGTCTCAAGGCTAGTAAACAATGGGGGTGAGATTTAAACCTAGACTCTTCCTTATTCTAACCCACAAAAATTATGGAATTTCCTAGTTAAGATTTCAGTAACTACCTAATCCAATCTACATCCAATGCAACCAACAAATG